GAAGTTACGATTTGAAGTCTTTCAGAAATTTTTTTACAGGATGTTTAATACATGATTAATGTTCCTCCATACAATAAACACATAAAAGCTGATGTTTATTACATTTTTCATCAATACAAACCATATTCAAGAATTCTTCTTCATGTTCTGCAATATTACAAGATTGATAATGAAAATTTTGCATTTTATTAATTAGCAAATTTTCAGTCATGCAAATTTTGTTTAAATATGTATTTATTATAAGTATTAAAATTGTACATTTTATCAATAAAGTCCTTTTAAAAATGTTACACTTGGCTCATTTGATTTTTTATTACCTAAAACAGAATCTGTTCTAGCAACTTTATTTAATGGACTTTTAACATTAAAATCTTTTGGAGTAGTAGATTTTGTATTTATTGAATTTCCTTTTGTTGGTTTCCAATCATAATCTTTTAATGAGAGTTCATTATTATTTAAAAAGGTCTTAATAATTTGATTCTCTTTTATAGCCTTATTAGTAGTTGGTTCTGGTTTCTAACATACTTATTTATGATTGTAAAAATATTAAGGTGGATTAATTTCTTTTGCATCAATTCGAGGTTGAGATACAGCTTTATAGAGATTATTAATTCTATTCAAATTATCCATTAATGATAACTTTGGTTATTCTTCTAGTTCTTTAGGTTTCCTATTTTTATTTTACTAATCATTATACTTTGAGTTCTATTATGTCTAATAATCCTTCAAAGGCTTCAATTCAGTGATATTTGGATGATTCTTATGGTACTATTACACAAATCCTAAACGTTATTATAGACTAGATTCTTATGGTTATCTTTGCATTAGTGAACGTTAAATTAATAAAAATTTATATTTCATGAGTTTGTAGAAATCCTCTATTTCCTCTAAGTATTTCCAGTATTAATAATAGTTTTCTTTTATTTTAAGAAATTTGTATCTAACAATGAGCAATTATTCCTGGCTGAAGAAATCAATTTAATTTCTGGTAGAGGATAAGTAGGTTTCATTACTTGATTCCTTCCTAAATTCAATTATAAATTATTTTTAATTTATCCATTCAATTCTGTAAGACTCTAACAACATACATAACTTATAAATGGATTTGTTTAATTTATAGTTTATGTTGTTGTTTGTGTTTAAGTTTTTTCACTTATGTAACTTTAGATAGTAGTAAATGCCTTTTTAGATTTTCGAGAAATATTTAAAACAACTTTAGGTTTTTCAGATTCTATAACAGAGGATCTAAATTTATTTTTTTTAATTTCTTAAGATTATGTAATATTGTGTTCATCATTTCCTTATTATTATTATGATTATAACATGAGTAACTATATTTCGCTATTTCTTTAATTCCCTTTATTACTAATATTACGAATAGTTGTTTAATGTTTGATGAGTATACTAGACATTCTCTTAAAGAGAGTCCTTTTTCTTTCCTTTGTCCTTTGTAATTCATTGGATATTACTTCTTATTATTGTATAATTGTATTAGGATACTAACAATCAATATGTAGCTATTATTTAATATGATATGTTTTACCTACTTTTAAGATAGTTGTTCTGTACCACTTTTTCTTCTTTATTATTTTTTCGTATTCCTTACATTTCTCAATTCAAAACTCTTACTAATTCGTTTTAGTATTACTTCTTATTCTTTGATTCTTAGACTTTTCATTGTTCTCACCCTTTTTGATGGTGATTCAGTTTTATGTAATGTCCTAAATTATAGACTTAGATTAGGTAAATGATTAGAAGAATATGATTATTCCATATGTTATTTGTTTAAACTACTAATCTTGGAATAATTCATAGAGAGTATCTAGTTTTAAGTAGTATTAATTCCAATTGAAGAATTAATTGAAGATTCCATAATGAAATATTTTACAAATAAAATAAATTTGATTATTTTGAGTCCAACTTTTTGGAAAAAAAAAATATAAATTTTAATTAAATTAGAGTCTTATTAAATTATTTGATGAAATAGAGGCTATTCTGATTTTTACATATAAATAAATTTAATTGATATCTTAAAAATTTATTTTCCAATTAAATTATAAAATATATATTAGATAATTTAATTTTAATCATTAAAACAAATTATATAAGATGACTAATAAAATTTAAATTCAGACTTCAAAAAAAATTAACTTAATCGCCTCTTTTTATTAAATTTATAAAATATTCATATATTGATATATTATTGAATAAGTATAATTTAAAGATTATATATCTATAATGTATATTTATAATATGTATTTTTAATATAATATTTCTTTAATAAGGATTGTTTAATTAATTTAAAAAAAAGATGAAAGCTTTCTTTTATTTATTGTATTAAATATAAATATATATATATATTATAATTGTTAGATCAACAGGAATCATCACAGTTTTATCAAACATCCATTTTTGATTATCACTAAAGAAAATTCAGAATCTAAACTCAAAAATTCACAAAAAGAATATTCTTGAGTTAGAATCTTTTTCGATTTTTCTTAGAGAATCTCTATTTTGGATAGAATCATATCAATTTCCTGTATGTTCCAACGAGGACTGATTTCGAAATCAGTCTTGTTTAGTCTTTTAGCTTTGTGACCTACAATATAGAATAATTCATATACCATAATGTTTCTATAGCTATTTGAATTTGTGTTTAAGAGCAAATTCTGTTCTTCTCTTGTATTTGGTGATCATTGACAATTTTAAAGATATGTCAGCCCACCTTCGTCCATTCTGAAGAAGCAATTGAAGAAAGTGTAACTCCTCAGATTTAGACCATGGTTCTCTAATTTTTGATTAAATATTTATAAATACCTATTAATTTATGGATCAAGTTTATTGTTCCATCTCTCTCGGCATTGTTTAGCATTTCTAAGAATTTCAGATTTACAGATTAGATTATATTGATTAGCAATAGAGCTCCATTTTTTCTTACAACGACTGGTGTTATCCCTACGTTATAGTTAAATATATATACAAAATGATTTTCAACAAAGTTTTATCTTCAAAGGAAGACCAAGGTTATCTGGGAAGTTATGCTTTATAGAAAGATTAGAATTTAAAGCACAACTCTGACAGACTCCTTTACTTTGGCATCAATTTTTGGACTTTCTCCCAGTCGAAGCGATTCTTTAAATAATTAATTATATTATACCTTTATGCATCTAGGATTTAGACTCAAGACAACAAGTTATAAGAAAATCTCTTCATTTTGATTCCACACTTCATCACATCCAAACTTAGATGACTCATAAAGTTTGATAAAGTCATCAAAATTGGGTAAAGTTTTGAAATGTAATTTGAGCTTCAAAGATAGATATTCTGGTTCAATGGTTTGAAGATTTTAGTATACTAAAGCCCAATCGTTAAGATCAGTAAATGAGCTTTGTGAAGAATTCATTTGTTTGATAAGATTAATAATGTTTTATCTGAATGAATATTTTATGATTTAAAAACATGAATTTTAATACAATAAACAGATACAATAAATAATTTATTAGGTAATATAAATGAAAGTTAAGTACATCTTTTAGAATTTCATAATTCAAACCATATTTAGTATTATTATTCTTAATATAATGCTTATATTAGCCGTTTCAAACTGTTAGATTACTTTTTATAATTATATATATATATTAATTATATCGTATTTTCCTACAGTAATAATATTCATAATTTTAATGCTCTTCTAAAATTATTATATACTATTTATGGTAATAAAGGTTCATTCAAATATGTAGCACAGTCTTGGATTAATTTAATCAAAAATTTAGGATGAGATTTTTAATCATTAGATTCTACAATTTTTGGATTGTATTAATATGGAGCATCAGTTTCAAAAAGCAATTTATTTTTATCAATATTATTTAATTGTTCCATTTTCATATTTAAACAAAGAGAATAATAAAAATTTGGATATAATTTATCCAAACTACCTGTAATTTCTTTTGGACATCCATAACTGTGCATAATAATTGAAGCATTATAATTTTAACCTTTTAATTATTTTTTGAAGATTTTTAGCATTTCTCCAGAAGCTCTAACACAATGAATACTCATTGATCTATTATATTTAATGGCCAATTATAATTAAGTTATAAAAACTTCACATTATCGTTTTTAATCTTCTTTTTCTTTTGCTTTTATGAAATCTAATCCAATTTCTCCCACTTAAATTCTCTCATCCAATTTTAATATATTTTCCATCTTTTCATACTCAATATTCTATTCCTTATTAATATACCAAGGATGTAAACCAATACAAGGTATTATAAATGGATATAAGTTTAAAAGAGATGGAGGAAGAAAATCAAAAGTTGTAGAATTACATACTATATATGTATTATAAATTGTAATACTTATATGATTAATGCCTGACTCTACTGATTCCTTTACTATTTAATCGACATTCTCAAAATCTTAGATATGAGAATGAGCATCTGCATATTTTTATAATTCCATTAATAAAATAACAAAAAAATCATATTTTAGAAATCAATTTACCTTATAACCATATACCATTAAGTTTTTCTCCATTTCTTTTAGTTAATTATCCCATTCCGTTTCTACAATCATATTCAAAATTTCCAACATACATAGAACCATCTCTATAATACTCAATACCAGCTCCACATCTTTATCCAAATTAGAATTCTCCAATATATTTCATGAATTATGAATTTACATCATGATTATACATTATACCATTACCATTTTATTAATCATTAAACCATTATCCTTCATAAATTAAAATTCCTTATGCATTAAACAATTTACCAAACCCTTCTCTAACTTTTCCATTATAAGAACCTATATATTCTTATTATTATTCATCTTTGATATCCTTAATAATAATTTTATCTGAACTTTTAGAGTACTTTTTAGACATCTCTCTATTAGTTTTAATCAATTTAATCAATATATCATCATCTAATTTTTAAACTTTTTTAATTGGTGAATCTTGTATTTTGGAATTCTTTAGATGAGTAGTAGCAAATGGGGCATAAGTAGTAATAATCTAAAAGAGATATTTCTATTTAAAATTACAGTACGATAGGGTCCAATTGATTTACCTGATTTTATGTAAAATAAGTAATACTTGCAGAAGCAGTTGATGGTTTTTAGGGACTTGAAGTGTTGGTTGATTGCATTTTATTATATATTTATATTTTTGTGTTTTAAGTCTCAGAAAATCAATTTCTTTGGTGATTGATAATCCTATGGATCAACATAATAGTCTTCTCCCATCTTCTATGTCTATGATGCTACTCCTCCTCTATAAATTAGGAATGAGAGAATTAATGTTGGAATTGCTACATGTACTGAATGTCTAAACCATTGTCTATTGTAAAGCCAGGCATCACTCTATATACATTTATAAAAAGATAATTACCAACACATAACGAGGAATTGGATATTTCTAAAAGCCTCCCATTTTACAATATATTAATTAATAATTATTATTACAACAAATATATTTATGATTAAAAATGAGGGTTCTGTTAGTTAAGAAAATATCATAATATAAGATAAAAATATATTAGCTATTATTAATATAAAAATCGAGAAAGATTTGAAGAGAATGATAAAAATAAATACAAATGTTAGAATTTAATTATTAATAAATATTATCATTATATAATGTTCGAAATAAAAAAGATTGAAATTAATATCTTTTAATTTGATATAATTTTGTTACCGTCTTTAGGGAAACATTTTTGGTGGTGAGTTTAGCTATNTATAATTCCATTAATAAAATAACAAAAAAATCATATTTTAGAAATCAATTTACCTTATAACCATATACCATTAAGTTTTTCTCCATTTCTTTTAGTTAATTATCCCATTCCGTTTCTACAATCATATTCAAAATTTCCAACATACATAGAACCATCTCTATAATACTCAATACCAGCTCCACATCTTTATCCAAATTAGAATTCTCCAATATATTTCATGAATTATGAATTTACATCATGATTATACATTATACCATTACCATTTTATTAATCATTAAACCATTATCCTTCATAAATTAAAATTCCTTATGCATTAAACAATTTACCAAACCCTTCTCTAACTTTTCCATTATAAGAACCTATATATTCTTATTATTATTCATCTTTGATATCCTTAATAATAATTTTATCTGAACTTTTAGAGTACTTTTTAGACATCTCTCTATTAGTTTTAATCAATTTAATCAATATATCATCATCTAATTTTTAAACTTTTTTAATTGGTGAATCTTGTATTTTGGAATTCTTTAGATGAGTAGTAGCAAATGGGGCATAAGTAGTAATAATCTAAAAGAGATATTTCTATTTAAAATTACAGTACGATAGGGTCCAATTGATTTACCTGATTTTATGTAAAATAAGTAATACTTGCAGAAGCAGTTGATGGTTTTTAGGGACTTGAAGTGTTGGTTGATTGCATTTTATTATATATTTATATTTTTGTGTTTTAAGTCTCAGAAAATCAATTTCTTTGGTGATTGATAATCCTATGGATCAACATAATAGTCTTCTCCCATCTTCTATGTCTATGATGCTACTCCTCCTCTATAAATTAGGAATGAGAGAATTAATGTTGGAATTGCTACATGTACTGAATGTCTAAACCATTGTCTATTGTAAAGCCAGGCATCACTCTATATACATTTATAAAAAGATAATTACCAACACATAACGAGGAATTGGATATTTCTAAAAGCCTCCCATTTTACAATATATTAATTAATAATTATTATTACAACAAATATATTTATGATTAAAAATGAGGGTTCTGTTAGTTAAGAAAATATCATAATATAAGATAAAAATATATTAGCTATTATTAATATAAAAATCGAGAAAGATTTGAAGAGAATGATAAAAATAAATACAAATGTTAGAATTTAATTATTAATAAATATTATCATTATATAATGTTCGAAATAAAAAAGATTGAAATTAATATCTTTTAATTTGATATAATTTTGTTACCGTCTTTAGGGAAACATTTTTGGTGGTGAGTTTAGCTATCTAATAAAATATTAAAATCTAATTTGCTTTATTTTAATATAATATTATCTTTTTTATATCGAATGACTACAACTTTGGGGCCTAAGTTAAAGTTTGTGATGCCTCCAAAAAAGATTGTTTTAAATGAAGAGATTCTTGAAGGAAATTATGATCTTGAATTGAGACAATGGAGTATTTCAAAAATGGAACGTAAAGTAAGTTTTGCATCTTCAACTCTCATATTTCTCAGATATTCAGAAGAAGAAATAACACATTTTAGATAAAGATTGAAAATATAATTACAATGTAGTATAGAGTCGATTGAGTCTTCATATTTAAATCCATAATTATGTAGTTTAGGCAAAGTACATAGAAGGAAGTCTTGCTTCAAGGAATACGATGATCAATTCAATTGATTACTTATTTTATATACTCAACAGCTCTATAATAAACTTCAGTAGATATTACATTTTATTTTAAATATTTTATTCATTAATTTAATATATGTCAATCAATGAAGTTGAATGAGGATAGCATTATAACATTTATAATATATAGAACTATTGATATAAAACTTAACTATCATCAAATAATTTTCTATTTCATCGAATTGAATTATACTTAAAATTTATATACTCTTTATATAATTCTTTTCATTAAGAATTTTTCCCATCCATCCAACCATCTAAATAATTATTAATAATTATATTACTTGTTCATTTCATCTCTACTTCCCTATTGCTATATCCAATTCTCTAAAGTATTGTTTAATTTTTCAATTAAAGGTTGGAATATCATTTCAATATATGGCTCAATTTCATCCATCCATTTGAAAATTTCTTTTATTGGTTGTACATTTTAATTTTATGGGTTGATTTCTAAATTATGGAGGCAAAATAACATTTTAGGTAAAACTGACATGTATAATAGATTTTTCCAATTTTCTCCTAAATATCTAGCCCAAGGTTACAGTACACTAAAACCAAAGTCATCTCTATCTGTAAATTTCAATTATTTCAATTTTTTCTCTACTTCTTCAAGTAATTCCTTATTATTTAGTCTAGAATTAATCCAAGGTTACAACCATTAATGTAAAGATATTGTTGAATTCATATTCCATTCTTAAATCTTAAGTTTTAGTTTAGACATAATTATACCCATAATATCCTTTTATACTTATTAATCCAATAATCTTATAGTCTAAAATTGATTAACACCTGTCTCTTCAGTTTCAACTAAAGCTAAGTCTTTCATCCATAATTCTAAAAATTCTACTAAATAATTTTCTTATGTTGGATCATATACTGTAGATAAATAATTTCTTAGTCTGATTATAATAGGAGCAATCAATATTCCAATAAATCTTTTTAATGTGTTCACATCTGAAGTTGAAATTTAATTATTTATTATAAAAACATCTAATTATTCAGCATATTTGCTTAAATTTTAAGATTTTTTCTATATAAATATATCTTTGGCTAAATTAATCACTTATGAGATTAATTGATGCTCATTTTATAAAATATCCATTTTTGTAAGAGGTCCTTTCCATTTAATTATTAAATTCTTAATTTCTTATTCTGCATTCTTAACTAATAATCCAATTAAATTGAATTATATGAATTAATCACTAAATTTCCTAAAACATTCTTCAAATTTAGAAAAGATAGAAAATTAATCTTTTTTAATTAAGATTTCATCATCTTTAAAAAATCTTAAATAATTTAAAAATTCTTCTTTTCTTTTAACAGAATCATTCCATTATGTATATTAAATTAATTCTTCTTTTTTTTCATGATCTAAAATAATAATTTTATCCTTCTCTTTCTTAATACTCTATTCATTATTCTCCCATTTTCCTAAACGTTTTTCTAAAATCTTTTACACTGACCAAGTTAATTCTTAAACATCCTTCAAATATTCCCTAACCACTTTATTATTTTATACTTATATATCTTAAGTCTTATTTAAATAATCATTAATATCACTACCTGTCATATCAATTATTTTATATTTATTATTATTCTAATTATCTTTAATAAGATTATCCATTATATGATTCCTATCTAAATTTAATATTTCTTCCTTTTTGTTATAAACAATAGGTTATCCATCTTATTTATTCCTCTTTTTTCTCCATTATTTTTCATATTTATTCATTTTCTTAGATTCAAAAAAAGGCTTTTAATGATTGTCCTAAGTAGAATTATTCTCATTTTCTTGTTCCTCTTCCTCTACCTTATTTTAATATTCATATTCCTAAACTCCTTCCCCTGTAAATGATTATTTCTTTATGGCAATTACTGGCTCTAATATACCTTATTTATTAGCACCCAATCCTTCTCCATACTTATATCCTAATTTCTACAAAAACTTCAATCCAACACCATAATCATGTTCTTCCACTCTTTTTTCTAAATTCTTTTTTTCTCTTTAACTTAGATTCTTTTTATTTCTACTATCTTTAAATGCAACTTACTCCACTGTTATAGTTTTCTTACCATCATCTTCTTTAAAGACTTATGGTTTCTTCTTTAAAATACCTTTTGGTTTATGAGATGGTGTTTAACACACTATATGAATAATTGAATCATCACTCTCATCATCTTAAGCTTCTACTTCAGAATCAGAATCGACTTTATATAATTACCAAGAACGTCTTATATTATTTGAAAGATGAAGCTTCTCTGTCAATGTTAAATACTCCTCTTCATTTTTAACTATTGGATGAACAATGTTATTCTCAAGATTAAATTATACAGATCGCTTTTATTTTATTCTATATTCTGTTTCATTCACTTTTTCATTCTTTGGCATATTCTTATCAATTATCTTTACTGTCACACCTTTATCTACATTAGACAAAAGTGAAGCATTAGATTTTTGAAAATTAGCAAATGCTTAATTTCTCTAATATTCCTTATATATTTGTTAGTGTTAATTATTGGGAGTTTCTTAACTTTACTATTTTGGAGTTTATTCGAATTATTCCTAAAAGAGATTTAATCGAGCTCTTTATTGTTATTATTAAGCAATCTTTTATTTTGGTTTTTCCATTTCTACTTCATTATTATCTTCATAATTCAATTTAGATTTCTTAAATCCCAAGCCTGTATGAAATATTAAATCATCATCACTACTAAGATTGTCTAGATCAACTTTCATCGATTTTAATAATTTATATTATGTATTTATTAACTTCATCAAGAAGCATAATAATCCTTATTTGGTCTCTCCTCTTGCTCTGTTCTTCTCAAGTATGCCAATTCATATGAAAAATATGCAAACCAAGAAATACCCATTATCAACCAAAATGCGCCATCCTTTCTATCATAGTAGAGTTGTATTTGTACTTGTAATTAATAGTCCAAGGTCTGTAATCTTTTGGGTAAGTAAATTATTCATTATAAGCAATTGGTGCTTATTGTCCAGGATTGAAATTTCTAATTGTTAATCATATTTGAAATACCTTGGAGGTCTGGATAAGTTAACACTTTTGGTATGGCTTAATCCAACTTACTCAAGTTTAGAGATATTGCTTTATCCATAACGATAAGCTACCCTTTATATAAAATTCATTTTTTATATTAATATATGTATATATTAATAATTTATGGTAAAATTCAATACAATCTGTAGGTCTGGATAAGAAAGATCAACAAATGCTGATATAACTAAAGTATATAGGAATCCTAATCCAAAAGTACATCCTTTAGCACATGCTAGAGAATATCAACGTGCACTGGTAGCGACAAAAGTCGAAAAAATATATGCTTAACCATTCTTGGGAGCATTGAATGGACACTCAGATGGTGTGAGTTGTATTGAAGCATGCAGATTCAACTTATCAAAATTAGTAAGTGGAAGTTATGATGGTGAAATACGAATTTGGGATATTCCTAGCAGAAGAACATTAATATAATTAAGTAAAGAAAGAGTTGATAAATTAAATAGATGCACATTAATAAATGGTTAAGGGAGTTTCATTTAGTAGAGATGGAATGCGAATAGTTTCATCAGGTGAGGATAAGACCATAAATTTGTATGATTTTCCTTAATTGTTGGAATAATCAAATAATACATTTTAAGACCCATTAATGCGATATTTAAGTAAAGGAACTTTGGGAAATGTTGATCATAATTACTAGTTATCATAATTTGCTACTGCAGGATAAGTAGTTTAGGTTTGGGATTATGAAAGACCAAAACCAATAATGAAATTCTAATGGGGAGTGGATTCAGTTAGTTGCGTGAAATATTCTCCTGCTGATAGTAATCTAATATGTGGAACTTCTATGGATAGATGTGTAATATTGTATGATGTTAGAGCTGAATCTGCAATTCATAAAGTAGCTATGTTAAATAAATCTTAATGCTTAGCATGGAATCCAATTGAACCATTGAATATTGTAATTGGAAATGATGATTCAAATTGTTATACATATGATATTAGAAAGATTGAATTACCTACTATGATTCATAAAGATCATATTTCAGCTGTTATGTCAGTAGCATTTAGTTCTAGTGGAAGAGAATTTGTTTCTGGATCATTTGATAGAACCATTAGGATATTCCCATTTAATAAAGGATTTTCAAGGGAAGTATATCATGGATAGAGAATGTAATAAGTAAACTCAGTTTCATTTTCAGCTGATGCTTAATTTGTATATAGTGGATCTAATGATATGAATATAAGAATATGGAAGGTAAATGCAAGTCAGAAAGTAGGTATAATTAATCAAAGAGAAACTAATGCTACAAATTATAGGTAGGCTTTGAAAGAGAAGTTTAAGTATAATCCTGAAATCAAGAGAATTGCAAAACATAGACATTTACCTAAATATCTAATGAATAAAAAGAAATAGAGATAGGAAATGAAGGAATCTAAAAATAGAAAATAAAGAAATGCAGAACTTAATAATCCAGGTTAATATGAAGCTCCAAAACCAGAAAAATAATAAAGAATCGAATAATTTATTTAATGATTTATAAATGTATTTTAACATAATTTAAAAGTTTAATAAGTTGTTAATTTAATTTAAATATGAAGAGAAAACTATATAAATTATCATTGTTTAAGGAAATAGATGAATTCAATTAGAAAGATGATGATGGAAATTATAGTGATGATTCATCTATATCTGATGAATTTATGAACTCTACACTTGAAGCTTATTGTATTTATTGATTTTTATTATTCAAAAGAATCATAGATATTTATAAGCAGTAATCAAACTTTTAGTTCAATTCATTCAGAACAACTTCAATTTATTTAAGGAGTATTTGATAAGTCTGAAGAAAGTGAATAATCATTTGACTTCAATATTACAAATGTATCAAACTAAAACTTAAATTTAAGATTGATAGTGATAATAGAACCACTTTAATGATGAGAAACATACCATAAACTTATACTAAGGAAATGATTTTAATGGAAATAGATCCAAAATTCAAAAACAAATTTGATTACTTTAACTTTCCTTTTGATGGAACTACTAACCCTGGATATGCATTTATCAACTTAAAATCTAAATCCTACTTAAGAGATTTCTATACTTATTTCAATGGAAGAAAGTGGAAAAATATTCCATCTAATAAAGTATTACATTTTAATATATAAATAGCCTTGTTATTTAAAATATGCTAAAATTCAGCATAAAAAATTCAAATAAATAAATCCTTAAATTTATTTACAATAGAGTAGTGTGATAAAACTAGTCTAGAATTAGAAGTTACAATGTAATTTGTGAATTAGAGTATCACTTTTTTTTCTCTATATCTATTTTAATATTGTATATTTATTTGAATATTTAAAGAATATCAATTTAATTGAAGTCTCTCTCTTAAATATTCTTTAAGTGTAACAATCTTATCCTAAATATGATCAGATATTCTTGATATAAGATCTTAGGTCTAAACTCTGGATTGAGTTTCCATCTAATAAATGTCTTATTATTATCTACACCATTAATCTTGTCCTTCTAAATTATTCTATTGTTTAAATTATCTTTTACTTAATTTCTTTCTACTTCAGCAACATGATATTCAACTTTCCCTTCAGATTCTTCAATAATGCTTTGATAATTAAGTATTGCTTATTCTAAATTCTATCTCTGATCAGATCTAATTTTATTTAAAATTAAATTATTACAAGGTATTTTTCTCATTTGTTAAATCTGCCAAAAATTATTACCAATTCAAACTTTATTATTTCTCAATAGATTCATCATTTCCTTTACTTTCAACTATTTGAACTCTTAAATTAGCCAACAATTAAAGCACTTTCTTAGCTGTGTCTGAATCTGATTTTGAAGACAATTAAGTCATCATTGTTAATATTGGTTAAAATAATAAACCTGTAGATTGACTATCAATTAATTAAATAATAATACTTTTGTAATCTCTATAGAACTTTATTAAATCTTCCCTTAACTTAAATAAATGAAGAACCTCCAGATAAATGTTCAATAAGTGCATATGCTTCATCAATTGCTGAAATAGCTTCAGTATGGTCCTTAATTTTTGATTAAAATTCTGCATATTATAAATCTCTTTCACTCTATCCTGCATTTGTTTTCTTTGTATTTTCTTCAATTTCCACTGAAACTTCAGCAATTTTGTTAAGTGATCTTTATAAATTGTTTGTGTTTTCCTAATATTATGATAATATGTCTAACATCAACTATTTTTTAGTGTGCTTTCAATTAGCTTTGATGATAAGCTAAATTAGTTGAAAAATCATGCAATAATCTATTACAAGAAGCTTATGTATTTTGAATAAAGAGATCTGCATCCTTTTGTTCTTATTCTAACATGAATCTGAAGTTATTATGCTTTGTATTTACCTTATATTGTTAATATAACTTTGAATTTCATGGACAGGTGATCCAGTGGCAAGACTGATTTGAATAGCATTCAAAAATGTTTTACCCATATGATGGTCATCAATTTCGGTTAAGATTATCTTTGGATCTGTGCCTAATTTGCATAATGCCTATTATCCTATGTGAATACTACCAAGCCAATTAGAACTAATAATAGTATTTTCATTTTATTATTATTATTAAAAACGAATACAAATTATAAATACATTCTTTTGGAAGTGTACTCATAATAACATTTTGATACAAACATATATCTATAAATATATATATATATTTATATAATAAATAATTTATGACTTCAATTATTCGCAAATTCTAGAATGAAACCCTAATCAAAAATCATGTTTTCTCATTTGTAGGTTTTATGGCTGGATTGAAATTGTGTGATTATTTGCTTTTTGATGATGTATTTTGAAAAAGCATAATAGAAATAATTTTAAGAATTGAAAGAAGATATGGAAGATGAATTTTGGGCTCATAATGGTGAGCCTACATAGATCTAACCTTATATAGTTGATTCTGTAAAAGGAGGTAAAAGAAAATCTTGGATTTATATTATGTATGAGAAGGATCAATTAATTAAAAAGAAAGATGAGTTTGATTGAATGAGTTGTTATATAATATTAAATATATATATATATATTAATATATATCAATCAGATTCATCATCACTAAAGGGATAATCTATATGATAGACATGATTTGAATTTTTATCCTTAACTACTTATATATGTTCAGTTGTTTTAAATGAACTTATATCAATTGATTTGAATTTCTTAAATTCTTCTGAAAGAGTAGAGACTGATGAATGTTTTACTGAATTTCTTTTCCAAATTTCCCCTGCTCCAAAAAGGAAACAAAGTTATTTAATTTTTTTTTCACTAACTTAAGTTTCTTAAGGTTTCCAATTCAAAAACCTAGCCATATTCTTTTTCAATCTATCCCTTGGCAAATCTGATTAGTTCTATACATTTTTAACCCAAGGGTGATCCAAAGCTTATTATGGAGTGAGTCTTTTTTAAGGATCAAATTATAATAAATTGCTTATCAAATCTTTAGCTTAATAAGATATTTAATCCCAAATGGGACCAACCATTTCATATTTACATTATTAAATCTTGTCGATTAAATCATTTAAATAATCAGAATTAAATGGTAATTCTCCACTTAACATAACATATAAAATCACTCCTGCACTCCATAAATCAACTTATTCACTAAATAAATGAATGTTATTACTTGTACAAACCTCCTGAAAATATCTCTGGTGCTGAAAAAGCAACTGTTCCTGTATATGTCCACATCTCAATTTTTCCATGTTCATTCAAATTTCCAAATTCTTTGTATCCATCTGTAAATTTGGATACCTTTATTAGATAATAATTATTAGTTACATTGAAATCTGTTATCTTGATAGATCTACCATCTTCTGCACATAAAATATTATTTGGTTTCAAGTCTCTATGACAACAATAGTTTTCATGCATATAATCAATTGCTTCTAATATTTACTTGAATAAGATTCTGGCAATGCACTCTATTCTTATTTATTCAAATACCACTATAATTTTTCTATTTTTAAATCACTTCAAACATTTCGCTACCTTTAACCTTCTCCATTACTACATAAACAGTTCCAGTTGATTAAAATCCTTCGTTCCATTGAATATATAATTCCTCCATTTTTACAATACGAGGATGACTCAATTTTTTTAGATTCTTGAATTCCAATATCATCTAACTCATATATGAATATTATCTACATTCTTAACAATTTCCTCAGCATCTGTTTTAACTGTCTTACATGCAAACTCTTATCCATCTATCTTTCTTGTTATACTTTTTACTAATCCTATACATCCTTCTCCTAATACTTCCCCTTCCACATACTTTTCTTAATATTCACTCAGCTCAAATTTTATATATTTATAATCATCCCCATCCAACTCAATACTTATTCTACTTAAAAATTATTATATTTCCTATTCTTTATTATTTCCATTATCGTTCTTATTTATTAATTGTAACATCTAACCTAATCTATTCTACATCAAACTATTACCCTTGAACTTATTCTTTAATTGCTGCAATGTACTTGTCTATGTATTATCACAAATAGGAGCTCGAGAAAAAGAAAATTTGCTCTTTCTTCTCTAATTTTATAAATCCATATATTATTTAATAATATTTTCAACTCATAAAATAATTTGATCTTTTGAGTATTAACGTATATGTTCGCTATTCATCATTTAATATCATTTATTTTTAAATATAAAAAAGTTAAACAATAACAAAAGTAATGTGAATAATTTTTATGTTGATATAAATAATGTAATAATCTAAAGAATTCTATTATAAAATCAATCATTTTATACTCTACTACTTTAAACACTATATCCAAAAAAATAGCTTAAATTTAATAATTGAAATTTCCATTATCAACCATTTTTTGTTGTCAATTATTAAAATAAATTAATATTAAATGAGAAACATATCATAAACTTATATTTTATAGTGATGATTCTCTTTTTAAAAACCAATTTAAACAAAAAAGTCAATTGATATAAACCTAGGGGTCTCCTATTTAAGAAGTAATCACTCTAAAATTCAATTAAGTATTAATTAATTAAATACCAAAAAGTATAATAATTTAATTTGTCAAAATAACATATAAAACATTAATATTCTAAGATTTATTTATAAAGGAGTAATTATATATTTTATAATATTACTCAAAATTTTATTTTATTCAAAAATTCCTTTTCAATCATTTTTGATATCTATCTTTCAATTACTTACACTTATTTATCATTTCTTTCCATAATCTTATCCGAAAATATAATCTCATTATTATATGTAACTATCATTTAATTTTCAATCTGTTCTTCAATTGTGAGTATTTGAGTTGATTTTTAATTACTTACACCTATATTAGAATCAAATTGTTTCTGTGTAACAATGTTGAAGTAATTTACTTGAAATCTATTTAGATGACTTTATAAAGTAGAATGAATTCTAAAATTAAATATTATATATATCTACCTTCTATATGTTGATTAATCAGAAAATACAAATATTTTTATTTAACCTTCTAAATCATTCATTTCCATAAAAAATTGATTAAAAGGATCAAAATATACAGTTGGAAATGATTTTTCTGATATTTTATTTGCTTTTAATTGAGCTTAAAGAACTATTTCATCCTCCTTTAACTTAAACTCAAGATTCAATTTTCTATATTCATACCAATTAAATAAGGCTAAGGGAGCACATATTAATGGGGTATAAACAAGTAATGGTTTAAGTTTTATCTTTATTGGGCCTATTCTCATAATAAAATTCTAACCAACAATTATTTAATTAAATAATCATGTCCCAACAGACATAATAATGTTCAAACTGCAGAGCACTTATTGCAGATACAGTATTTGCATTGCATGAAATCTATTGCATAAGAAATAACATAGAATGTAAAAGATGTGGATAATTTTTTGATAAAAATGATCCATAATCTCATGAAGAAGAATTTCATAAAGGCATTGTATGTGAATTTTGTAAAGAAATATTCTAAGGTACTATAATAAAACAATATAGATATTTCAAAACATACTAAATGTTTAAAAAAGCCAGTTTAATGTATACACTGTGGATTGGATTAAGCTAAAGATTTAATATTTTAACATGAAAACATTTGTGGTAGTAGAACAGAAAAGTGTGATATTTGCAAACAATATATAATGATTAGAGAATTAACAAAACATGTAGCTACATGTGTACCACCATCAACATAAAAAGAAATAGTTTAAGAAAAATAAGCAACTTAAAAAACAGTTGAAAATCGATAAATTACATAATAACCTTAATAAAATGTATAACCATTCAAGCCTGATTATAAAAACTTTGATCATAAATATAAGTATCAAGTTGAAGCTGAATAAGTTAGCAGACCTTAATAATAGTTATAAGCAAAGCATGAAATATTTGGTTATGAAAAACCATCGATACCTTATAATTAATAATAATAATAATAATAATAATAATAATAATAATAATAATAATAATAATAATAATAATAATAATAATAATAATAATAATAATAATAATAATAATAATAATAATAATAATAAATTAGATAACCAATAAATAAGTATGAAAAACACATTGAAGCTAGATTAGATAATTATTCTTAAAATCACAAAATTCCATAATAATATTACAATGTTAATTAATAATAATAATAACAGATTACAGTTGAATAAAAAAATAAACCTAAAGATTATCCTCTTTAACCAACGACAAATCTTATCAAAAGGTAAGCCTCAGGAAATTAAGAGATTAAAAATGGTTATCCTTATTAAGAAAAATTAGGTGATAAATATATAAATCAATTGTCAAATTAACAGAGACTTCCAGATAGAAAATTGAATGAATAACAAAAATACGATCCTTATTCCTATTTAAATAGATAATAAGAAAATAAATTTTATGAAAATAAAAAACTTGAGAATAGAATTATCGATCAAAAGCCATCAGATTAGAATTTATAAAGATAATATAGTTAATAAGCTTAACCAACAAAATAGTATAATAATTTATTATAATTTAGATAGTAATCTAAAGCTGTTGATAATGATATAGATTATCTAGCTTTGGGTTTGACAAGAGAAGAAATTGAATAATAGAAAGTCTATTTAGAAAGCTTATAACAATAAAGAAAGCCTTTAGAATCATAACCAAAATCTCGATTAGATTATTATTAAGCAGCCAGAGCATATAAATGATGCATTTTGTTTATTACTTATATAAATATATAGAAAAATGTTTACTCAAAATCCATTCATATTTGATTAGTTCTATGGATTGGTATTGGTTCTATTAGAATTGAAAGCTTTTAATTATTCTAACAATTTTGCATTTTATTAGCGCAATCCTTCTGTTTCTTTGCACATCATTTCGTATTCTCTAAAAAAGTCTTTCTTTTTTAACTATTCTCTTTATTTGATATTGAGCTGAGTAATTTCTTCTATCTAATTAAATCTATTTTGATACCTCATCTGATAATTATTTGATAGTATTTTCAAGATTCTCTATTTATTCTAATCTTTAGATTGGATTCAAAGATCCTCTATATATATCAGGTTCACTATCTTCAATTTATTATTGTTATTATTATTATAGTTAAAGTTAAGATTAAGTCAATTATTGTTAAAGTGAACTAGTTGTCATTCTGAGTTAATTGATTTCAGTTTGCAATTTCTGAGCCTCACTAATTCTTTACATCTGCTCACCTTCAATTTATTATTTTAAATAGTAGATTTCATCTAATAACATGCTAAATCTTTTATAATTTTTGGATAGAAATTGCTTTAGATCAAAGAGCTAATTAGTTTTTTCATAATTATTGGTATTTTCAATAAAATCTTCTAGATACTTGATTTTTATTTTAAGTTTTTCATTCTCAAAACAAAATTGAGATTGATTAATATTCATTATATTAAATATTTAAGAACCCATAAATTATAATATGAATATTGTTCCTATTTATTAATTAAAGTTTCTTAGAAAGATTGTTGTCTATGTGATAGGACATTTAATAATTAACTTAATAGATTTCCCTCTGTTGAGCTTTAAAATTTGATTTTGGTTACCAATATCTCCTTTCCAGTTCTGTGATCAATCTATCCTCGTCTAATTATTGTTGTTCCACCCAGCTACTGATGATGTATGTGGGATTTTTAAGTAATTGTTTATTCTTAGCTCTATAAATTGTCTTAATAATTAATGAAATATCAATAAAAAGACTAATGAATTTGAATTAATTGTCCTTCTCTTCATGAATTCCAAGACTTTCTCATAAGATCCAGAAATTAAAATCTTCAGATTTCCATTCAAACGATGTTCACTATTTAGAGATTAAATCATTAAAACGTTAATATATATTATATCCACACTAACTAGACAACAAATGGCCCTCAGCCATTGTATTTTTACTAATAAAATATTCTATTTAAATTTTATTTTAAGAGAACTACTTTATAAAAAAAAATTATTATATTTTTATTTAAAATATTATTCATTTTCTTCTAGAACTCTTATGATGATGATTCATTAACACATGTTACTTTTTCTAAAGATCAACATATATACTATTTATTTTATTATCTGTGCTTTCAGATTATATAAATCTATCATATTTTTGTTTATATTCTTTTTATTTTGATTAATAAAGTGGAACATTCTATTTCTATTACTACTATCGCTAATCAAGTATATTCAATGAATCTGTAACCTTAAAATTTTAATCTGCTTAAACTTATGGCAAAGTTAATTAAGGTTAATCTAATTAAAGTGTTTATGTATTGGTTCCATCCTCAGGACTATCAAATTATGACTTATTTTGAATTTGTTACTCTTAAGGGGCCTCTTCAGATAAAGGCATTTAAACTTCATATTAACCTAACTCCTTGAATTAATATAAATCATGAAGACTCTCTTAATGGTTGTTAAGAACATAATTTAATTCAAGCATTTCCTTGAATAAAGGGTCTACCTTTGCAAATTTTTAATAATATTCCTTTGGAGGAGCTCTCAAATTAAATTTATCCAAAATATTCTAAGTATATTTTATATCTTATTTTTTCTAAACTTAAGGTTGATTATTAAGCAATCCAACAAATTTGAGTTTTTCGTCTGATTTCTCAAAATTATGCTAAAGCATTTTAGGTCTTGAAAATGGAACTTATGGTTTATTCATATGTAAAACTAATTTTACTGAAGGAGAGACTTAATTAACATTTAGTTAAAGATGAGATAGTAAATATTTAGTTTAAGCTGATACTTACACATTTTGTTCTTCAAATTATTCAATTTTGGTAGAATCCTTTCTAACTATTTTTTGGGGTTTCAATTTTTCACTTAAATGTTTCGCAAATGTTAATCCATCCCCAGATAGATTAGGAAACATAAGTTTCCTTCCTAAAAAAGTTTTTTCTTATGCTTTTCTCTTCTATTCCAATTTCTTTTGCATTATAATCTAATCTTAAATTCTCTCATACTCTAAAAACTTAGATGTGAAGATTTTATCTATTTATCCTCTTATATATGCATCTGATACATACAAACCATTTGAATAAAATATCATTATATGATAGCAATCATATACAAATCTTCAATTATTTTGAAAAACTACCTAATGTTCACTTATTCTTTATATTCTGGGTCCTTCCATAAATACCAATGAATATTATAAGTGATTAAGAAAAGAATGTAATTGATAATCTCATCTTTTGGTTAGCTTAATTAAGCAAATAACTTGACATATGTTTTTGAGAATTTATCTTTCAGCTATGTTGATCCACCTCGAAACTTTAAGTCAAGTACTTATTTTTATTTATTTCTTTACTTATATCAATACCAATTAAAGTTAATTTTGAAACTCTCTTCAACTAAAGGCTTTAAAGAACTTTATTTTTAAGCTATACATTTTCAATATTTTTCAATATCCCATTTTCAATTATGTGCTGCATTTAATTTTACAATTCTTCTTCTGTGCTATTCGACATTTTTGTTAAAAATTGATTAAATAATCTATATAAATATACTAATAAACTAATCAACTTTTTATAAATGTGATTAAAAAATATTAACAAATTGGAAATATATTATATTTTTTAAAATGGATCTTTTTCAAACTCATTCCAAGTATTCTTCACATTTATGATTAATACATTTATATAGATCTGATGCGGTTTTACTGTCAGATAGACATGAGACATACTAGAATTATTAAAAAAATTTTACCCCTGAAATACCCTCATTTTCTCCAACAGATTTGCAATTTTGCATAGCAGGCACACAACCTGAATCCTTTGCACAGGCATTCACTTAATTAGTGCATTTCCATTCTAAACATTATTTGAAATCAGCAGGCGTTTCTTCTTCCTCACCTTCTTCACCTTACTCACCTTCTTCTCCTTCTTCTCCTTCTCCTCCTTCTCCTCCTTCTTCTCCTTCTTCTCCTTCTCCTTATTCGCTTTCTTCACCTTATTCGCTTTCTTCACCTTCAGCTTAACCTTCTTCTTCTCCTTCACTGTCACTATTTTTTTCGCTTTCTTCATCCTCACTTTCTTTTTCTTTCTCTTCTTCTTCTCCTTTGCCTTCTTCAGTTTTTGGTTTTTTCTCTCCTTTTCCTTTTTCAGATTTTGGTTCAACCTTACCCTAGTTACCTTTTGGTTCTGGCTTTCCTTATTCTTTTGGTTCAGTTTTACCTGAATCAGCTTTTGGCTCAGGTTTACCTTAATCACTTTTTGGTTCAGCTTTGCCTAATATATATTTAGGAAATTTAACCTTAATCTTGTTTTGGTTCAGCTTTTCCTTTATCAGCTGGTTTGCCTTAATCAGCTTTTGGTTCAGGCTTACCTTAATCACTTTTTGGTTCTGTTGGTTTGCCTTAATCAGCTTTTGGTTCAGGCTTACCTTAATCACTTTTTGGTTCTGTTGGTTTGCCTTAATCAGCTTTTGGTTCAGGTTTACCTTAATCACTTTTTGGTTCTGTTGGTTTGCCTTAATCAGCTTTTGGTTCAGCTTTGCCTAATAAAATTCTATTAATTTTTTACCTTAATCTTATTTTGGTTCAGGTTTACCTTAATCGGCTGGTTTGCCTTAATCTGGTTTAGCTCCAGGTTTACCTTAATCACTTTTTGGTTCAGCTTTGCCTAATATATATTTAGGAAATTTAACCTTAATCTTGTTTTGGTTCAGCTTATCCTTTATCAGCTGGTTTGCCTTAATCAGCTTTTGGTTCAGGTTTACCTTAATCATTTTTTGGTTCAGCTTTGCCTAATAAAATTCTATTAATTTTTTACCTTAATCTTATTTTGGTTCAGGTTTACCTTAATCGGCTGGTTTGCCTTAATCTGGTTTAGCCCCAGGCTTACCTTAATCACTTTTTGGGTCTGCTTTGCCTAAGAAAATAAGATTTTTTTTACCTTAATCTTATTTTGGTTGGGGTTTTCCTTAATCGGCTGGTTTGCCTTAATCAGGTTTAGCCCCTGTATTAGCTGAATCAGCTTTAGGATCTGTTTTCCCTTTTTTATATAATTTAAATTTACCTTAATCTGGTTTTGACTCAGTCCTACCTTAATCTGCCGTTGGAGTTTTAGTTACAGTTGGCTAAGTAGAAGCTGGTTATCCTTGAACAGGTGTATTTACATCTCCAAATATCATAGATTCCTCTACCTCGTTTATCCTATTGCTACTTCGATTAAAATAGATTATACTGTTTCTAGGATAAATGATGGAATGCTCCTTCCTGTCCCACTTATCTAGCTATTAGAATTGTACATAAACAGAATAATAGGACTAAAGATTTCATAATAAAAATTTATTTAATATCTAATTAATACAATTACTATTAAAACCAAATGATATCTTGGTTTAGTATTGTTTTTAATTTTAACTATGAGCTTATGTTTTCTTAAATATAATATATGAATATTTTAAATGTAGAATTATTTTCACTACAAGCACTTAGATTAAACACATTCAAGTAGGGCAACAGCAGGCTTACTTTCATTAATGCAATCCAAATACTAAAAATATAATATTAAGAGCCTTACAGCTTGATATCCAGCAACATAAACTACATCCTTGCATGATTCTAATTTTTAGTTACAACTCTTGTCACAACCTTTAGCTTATGATTCGCATTTATCTTCAATGCATGATCTGAATTTTTTTTCTTCAGGGCTTTCTTTTGGTTCATTTTTTTTCTTTTCCTCTTTTTTCTCATCCTTCTTTTCTTTCTTTTCCTCTTTCTTTTCATCTTTTTTCTCATCCTTCTTGTCTTTTTTTTCATCTTTCTTCTCATCCTTCTCTTTCTTTTCATCTTTCTTCTCATCCTTTTTTTCATCCTTCTTATCTTTCTTTTCATCTTTCTTCTCATCTTTCTTTTCATCTTTCTTCTTTTCTTCTTTCTTCTCATCCTTTTTTTCATCTTTCTTCTCATCTTTCTTCTCATCCTTCTTCTCATCTTTCTTTTCGTCTTTCTTCTTTTCATCTTTCTTCTCATCTTTCTTTTCATCTTTCTTCTTTTCTTCTTTCTTCTCATCCTTTTTTTCATCTTTCTTTTCATCTTTCTTCTCATCTTTCTTTTCTTCTTTCTTTTCACCCTTCTTTTCATCTTTCTTCTCATCCTTCTTTTCGTCTTTCTTCTCTTCTTTCTTTTTTTCATCTTTCTTCTCGTCCTTCTTTTCTTCTTTCTTCTCATCTTTCTTCTCATCTTTCTTCTCATCCTTCTTCGCATCTTTCTTTTCATCCTTCTTCTCATCCTTTTTAGGCTCTTCTTTTTTTTCATCTTTCTTCTCATCTTTTTTTGGTTCTTCTTTCTTTTCATCTTTCTTTTCTTCCTTTTTTGGTTCTTCTTTCTTACTATCATCCTTTTTAACTGTATTTTCAAGGTGATTGATAGCCTTACAAGATATTAAAGATATGAAAAGCAAACAGATTAGGATTCTTTTCATTAATTAAATTTTATTTATATTTAATTAAAAAAGTTCAGTCAGTTAAGTATATTCGAATCTAAATGTTATTTTATTTAGATAAAATCTTAATTTTGATGAGCTGAGTAAAGTGATTCAATTACATCTCTTCCTAAGGTAATAAAATCAATAATCTCATATTTAAAGACTTATTTGTTTTTTGTATAAAACCTATAGTTAACTTCTAAAGTATAACTAAACATCACTTATGTTGTAAGGTAAACATCAGATTTTGCCACACCTGTTAAATATGGATTAATGGAATAAGGGCAATCATCATTCATACTTTAAGGTACTAAATTCTCTTTTGTTAAGTGAATTTTGAGCTCTGGTGCTTTTTAAATATTTTCTTCCTTTTCAGTATAAATTCCTTCAATTTCATATTAATTTTTTTCATAATTAATTTAAGTGGACATAGCTTCCTTGATACGAAAATGAGCAACTTTTGATTTCATTTATTTAGGGAATTCCTATAAATATTTAAATAATTTACTAATATAGCTTGATGAATAGATGGATCAGGATGCCAATTTGTATAAATAAAGCTGTTACTTAATACACTGTGTGCATGGAGATCAATATAGAAAGCCACATTATAATTTTTACATGTTTCTAAAACGGCTAAAGGACCATTAAATTTTGGAAATTTTAAAATTCTATTGTAAACTCTATTTTGATCATATCCTAATGAATCCAATCTATAATGTCCACGATAAACTCCATCTGGATTTAACATAGGAATGATTAGAAAAACATAATTTTCGAGTAAAAACTTAGCAGATTCATTATAATTCTGTAAAGATTCAAGTATTCCTTTTAAAATAAATGAGGCTGGTACTTCTCCTGCATGGACACGACATGAGATTAAAATATATTACTTCTTGAATTTGATTAAAGATTCATTTTATTATTTATCTGGAAATAAAAATTCAGGACAATAATATTCTTGTTATTCATGAGGCCCATTTTTTGTAATAGTTATTAATTCAATGTTTCTTCCTTCTAATGAATGTGCAATAGTTTCTCTTCTAAAATAGATGTCAGGATGTAATTAAGAAAAATAAAAATCAAAAAATTTTTGATTTTTTTTATAAGACCAAGGAGGCATATAAGCAAACTAAACAATTTAATTTGCTTTAAATTCGAATGAAAATTTAACTTAAAATCCTTGATATACTGCTGGATATCTACTCCAAATTTTATTGATCTTAACATAAATGTCTGAATCATTTGTCCATATTTTTTTAAATCTCGTAGCTATATTGACAATAACAAAGTTAGCTTAAAAATCTGTCACAGAAATAACTTTAAAATTAAACCATTATCTAGTGCCTTTATTGCATTATACTGGTGGAATTCTTCCTTGACAATCTTCCGATATACTTAAATTAAATGTGGTTGCTTCAATTTATTCAACTTGTGATAAATTCCCAGAGTCATAATTACTCCAAAAAGTGATTCCATTTAAAGTTACATTTATTTTAGATGGACAATTATCTGAAGATGGATATATTAATTCTTAATTAAGCAATACTTATTTCTATATTTTATTAATAGTAAAATTAGATGAAGATATTTAACTGTCTCTAGATGAGAGTTAGGATTGATTTTATGAAATTTAGGACTCTTATATTTATTTTTCATTTGATTATTTATTTCCCATTTTTATGAATTTTAATAATATATACTCATATAATATACCCAAGCTTTTGAAGTACCTTAATCGTGTTATCAAATAATATATTATTATCTGATTTTAAATATTTAGGATAACAATCTTTATAATAATATCCATTCTTTAGTTGGTTGTTTGGTTATGTCGCTAAAAATGTTGAAGTGACTGATCCTTATTCAGGAGTTTTAGTGAAATACCATATCATTGGAGTAAAAAATTTATTAAATTTAAATTAATTAAGCATGTGAGTTCTAACAACTCCAGGATGCAATGTATAAACTTTAATATTAGTATCTTTTAAATGATTTGCAAATGAAGATGTTTCATATATATTAGCTAACTTAGATATGGCATAAATTTTATGACAAGAATATGGAATAGGTTCTTGATTCAAATAATAGTTGAAATCAACCTAACTAGGAGAATCTGTGTGAGCACGTGAAGCAACAAAGATTATTCTTGATTCTTACTCATTTGGTATGTGATTAAGTAAATTATAAGTTAACAAAAAAGGAGATAAATAGTTAATACCAAAATTCTGTTCAAATCCTTATTTAGTATATTTTAATTCTAAATTAAAGACTCCTGCATTATTAATTAGGATATCTAATTTTTAATGTCTCTTTTTAAATTCTTGACAGAATTACTAAACATTATTCAAATCATTTAAATCTAAGTACATGTATTAGATATTAGAATAATTAAATAATTAGGATTTAATTCTTTCAACATTTCTTCCTGCAACAATTACATTTTTGGCTTTTGATAATTTTTTAGCTGTTTCCCATCCAATTCCATCTGTACCACCTGTAATTAAGATAGTTTTATCATTCAATGTAATCTTATTAAAATATATTTTTACTTATTAATGCTTTCTAAAATAATTAATTCCTCCCATAATTTTTAATTTTCCTGCTATTAAACTAATTGAACCTATAGAAAGAGCTAAAAGCTTATTCATTTGATTAAAATAATAAATTCATAAATGTTATTTAATTTTCATTAATAATTTTATTAATCTCTTGCTGTATCTTTATTCTAAATAAGCCCAATTGTGAATTAAGACATCAGTTGCTAGAAAACATGATAACACTAAAATTCTAATATATTTTAAATCTAATACTTTTAACTTTCCTAATTAGTTGATAGGAATGTACAAATGTTACAAAAAATTATAAAAATGAATGCAATTAAATTTGTTATATTATGCATTTTAATTACTTATTCTTATCTATCTTCTCTTACTTATAAAGATTTTATTGAAATGATCAAAAAAGAATAGCTAAGTTATTAATTAATTACCTACTAATTAATGCAATCAATGAGAATATATCAAACTTTGATTTATTTTATTTATTGAGAACAATAACTACTCTTAAAAAAAAAGTAGCTATTATACCAAACATTGCAAATTTGAATCTCTCCAAAAAACTAATGTTAATTAATCTATTACAAGTTTTAACATGCATTAAAGGAATTCTTGACATCACAATAATCTAAATTAGTTTACTAATCTAATTATGGATCATTAGTTTGAGTTTCAATTACATCTTATACTTTTGAATTTTAGATTTTAGAATTATCTGGAAGCAAAACATAATATTTTTCTTCTAATCGTAAAATTTGTTATCTTGTCAGAGAATAGTTATACATATTGAAAATAATAAAATAATTTAATATATTTTAATATTTCATCAAATAATCAAGAATTCAAATATTTAGTTACATACAATATATATTAATACTAAATAAGACATAATAATAATATATAAATTGTTTTTCAAAACACTGAATACTATTAAATTTTTGTAAAATAATATTAAATAAATTACTAACAAATATATATATAGTCTAATTTGAAACTGATTAGAGGTTAATTATAATTATTAAAATTTCAGAAATTAATTATATATTATTAAGATAAAGAGATAACAAACTTTGATTTTTATCATATCTATAAAATATTAAATATAAAACTGATTTTTAATTTTGATATGTTTTCCTAAATAATGTAATGAAGTTGAATATTAATATAGAAAAAGCTATTCAATTAGATTATTAGAACCTTAGTATTTTTTATTGCAAAAGGAAAATAGATAAATAAATTGGCTTTTCTAGTATTAATTTTAATGATAATTTGAATTAGTTTTGTAAAAATTTATATATTAAATAAATGAATACAAGTGAATTGGTTGAATATCAATAAAAAGTAGAGGCTTACATAAAAGAGCACAAGATGACTGACTTATTTGAAAATCTTACTAGATTATTAGTGCTTTCAAAACCTCAGGATCCTATGTCATTCTTAATTGATGTCCTTGAAAATAGAAGAGTGCAACGGCTTATCCTAGTAACAGGTGTAGTTGCTACAACAAGATAGGAAATAGTAGTATCACTTGCTAATTTGTTCAATTACAAAGTTATTACTATAGAAGATCACTTTAAATCTCATTGGGTGAATGATGATTAAGTAAATGAATACATTCATGCAGAATTGAAAAAAACTGAAAAGCATTTCAGAGGTGTAATAATATCTGGGTATCCCAATAACATTAAACAAGCATATTATTTATAATCATTAGGAATATTACAAGAAAGGTAATATATGAATTCATTTTAGATTTTTTTATTTGGAGAGTGATTTAGATTTTTGTAGACAATATTATGAATAAATATCTTAATCTTAAGAGGAAGTGACAAAGGCATTGACAAGAGATAGATTGAATAAGAAAGATTTAGAATATATCTATGGATCTTATATGGATATATTTAATACATCAAAAAGGACTAAAGAAGATATTATTGAAAATATCAAATAGATTATTCGTTTAAGGGATAGGAAGTTTCCTCCTCTTCGTTTTCCAAGAGTAGCAATTATACGACCTCCTGGTTTAAAAGAAAGAGCAACTTAATTAGCATAAATATTTAGTAAAAGATATGGTCTTGTATAACTTATAACTTTTGATATGATTTAATAATAAATTCAAAATAAAGGAGCTTTGGGTCCTTTAATTTATAATTAACTTTAAAAGGAAGAAGAAATACCTAATGATATTATGAATAGTATAGTTTATACAGAAGTATTATCAACAGAGGCTAGAACTAAAGGATGGGTTTTAGAAGGATTTCCTAAAAATGAAGCTTAATTAAAGTTTTTGGAGGCATAAAATGTGAATTTATTTGTAGTTTTGAATGAGGATGAAGATGTATTAATTAATAAGTCTAAATAATTGAAAATTGATCCAGCAACTAAAATAAAATATGAGAAAGTTCCATTAAATAATAAACCATTATTAGATAGATTATAGAATTATTAAGTAATTGTGATAAATTAATTTAGATTCATAATGAATAAATACTAAAATCTAGAATAACTAAATATTAGTCATTTGTAAAATTGATTGAATAGAAATTTAGTGAAAGAGTCTAAGTATTTAAATTAGAAAAGGATTCAACTGAGAATATCATTAGAGTAACAGATGTATTTTTGAATAATCCTAAAATTTATAATTGATAGATTAAAGTTATTTGTGCTCAAAATTTTTTAGAATTTATAATTAATTCAAATATATCTATTCATCTAATAAGTTATTTCAATAAAGATATATATAATTTATTTTAATATAAGATATAATTATGTTAATCATATATAATATAATAATAATATTACAATTTTATACTAATATTTAAGTTAAATCATAATTAAAATAGACTTAAGTGAAATTTCAAAATAAGAAACATCTTTATTTAGAGTTAAATATATATATAAATATATTCATATTATTTACAATATAATATAGATAAAAATATTCATAGAATTCCAAAGAACTTTCGAGTAGCCACTTTCTTAGTTTCACTTTAACTTTCCTTAATAATTTCATTAGTTAATTCATATAGATTATGGATATCCTTTTGCATTTCAATTAAATTCTTATATAGATTTTAATATTCATCATAAAATTCTGGTATTTCATTCAAAGTGATATTCTAAATAAAATATATATAATTATACATTTAACTATTTCTGATTGAATTTTAATCGATATTTCTTTGATTATTCATAAAATTTTGATTTACGTTGTAGATCTTATATTTTCATTTTAATCATTTACAGATTGACATAATTTTAGTGTGTATCCATATTAAAAATTCCATTTTAAGTTAATTCCTATAATTGATATGAATATATATATTTACATTTTATGAATTTTTAATAATATCTAAACGTTCTTTACTTAGTTCTTGAAATTCTTGATGATTGATATTTAATTTATGATAATCTAATTTTTCAATAAATTGTAGAGTCGATTCATAAGTAGTAAAATAATATTCATCTTCTCCTGTAATTCTCTTTGGTGATCTATAATAGCTAACAAATAAGATATTAGAATAAGCTCTTTATGGTTAAGCCTTGAGTGTGGCATATATTAAAACAGGTAATAAATTATCAGCACCTGTTGGTTAATTATTAGCCATTTAATTAACAATAGCTATTTTATTATATATATATCTATTACCACTAGTTTATTTGCCTGCATTAACAATACAATTTAATTTTTCTCTTGGTGTTTCTACCTTATCAATTTTAGATATTACTAAGATATTATTTACAATTTTTACAATCAATTACTTAATTAAACATTTTATGTTTTTCAATGTTTTCATCAATGTCAAGATGTTTAGCTTAAACAAATGAATATGCTTTCATAGAAAATTCAATTTCTCTATCTTTGACTGGATCAATTAATATTAATCTAATAATAATGATTTATGAATATACTTTGAACAAAGTGGTTTCATTACAAGTTTTTCAATGGCCTCTCCATTTTCTCTTAAATATTCATCAGATTCTTTCCATAGATCTTAAAATTCATCTTCAAATTCGCTGATTTTTTATTATACTATGTTAGGCATAGAATCAAGTGGTAGTTTGCTTTGTTACACTTCTCGAATGAAACTTAACTTAAATGCATGTACAATTGCTACTTAATTATTTTTTATTTGAGTGTTGCAGATTCATTTCTTTTCATTTTATCTGATACAGTTGGTTCAACTCTTCTAGATTATTCTAAAGACTATTCTGATTCATCTATTATTGTTGATTAATCCATTACGTGTATAATAATTAAATTATATCAAATTTCAATTGGAATTAATAATGATCAAATAGAAATTTATGTAATTACTATTAATTAATATAGAAGTATTCATATTATATATTGAGTTCTGTTATTAATTTTATTTTGCAGTAAAGTAAATGTATTTTACAATTCATTATCAATATCAACTTCATTTTTAGATTAATAAGTAAATGATAATAAATATTTAAATTATAATAATTCATATTATTTGCTGAATAATCAATATATAATACAATAATGATTTTCTATCTACATTATTACTAATGAGAAGCCATCATTAAACTTCTATAATAATAATTTATTAATTATGCTCAATTAAATTTCAAGACTGATCAATTATTATCAAATAAGATAATGTAGGATTATTATCTTCTAAATTTATTAATTAATTTGCATTAGATCCTTAGTTTAATTGAAATATTTGAATAAAATTAAGAGTAATTCTATTTATTCATTTCATAATCCTTTTAATGCTCTTTTAAATTTGAAAATAAATAAGTATATGATTTCATTAATATTTTTCATTTAGATTTTTACTTAATAATTGTGAATTTCAATCCAATCAAAAATATTTTAATTGTTTTCTTGAATCAAATTGGTTTTAATTCCTCCATCTTTTAATTTGTTTTAATAAGTAGTAATAATTTCATAATGGGATAAGGATTCTGATTATAATTAAGTATCAAATATGTTAACATAAGTAATCTTAATAAAATATATCATCTGGCATAATAAATAGCGTTAAAATATTATTTTTATATAATGAAATCTCATTCCTAACATGAAAATGGAACTTTGTAATAATTAGGTCGTTTGAGAATACCAAAGGTACTATTCTTGCCAGGTGAACCAATGGCCAAATAACGTGTTGATTCTCTACCTTCTAGTCCTGTAAAGGGAATTCCTAATTAAGCTGATGTTTAAGAGAAGTTAAAGATATTACAGGCAGAGAGAGAGGCAAGATCAAAATTGTAAGAGCAAGAAATGTTTGAAAGAGAGAAACGAAGCTCATTCAATAGATAGGCTCATATAATAAACAAGTTGCATAATGTCGAATAGTAGTTAGAAAAATGGAAGAAGACTAGACATAATATTGAATTGTAAGTAGTTAGAGTAGCAAAAGTGTTAACAAGACCAAGATGAGCTAGATGATCGAATGTCAATAAAAGACTGGAGTTGAATTTCACCGTTCAATTTAATAAAGAAACAAGAGTTATTCTGATTTTGAACATAGAAGTGCTGGAATTTACTTAAATCATGAAATATTTTAAAGAAGAAAGGAGGTAGAGAGGGAACGAAATTAATTAGTAAATTAAACTAGATATAGAAACAATGTTGATTAAGTATTTATATATTTAAATATCTAAGATTGATAGAAATGTTAGAATCATGTAAAAAAAATATAGAACTGAAAAGAAATGTTTTGCACTTCGTAAGCCCTTTTATAATATAAATGATCTTAAAAATTATTCTCACTTCTTATTATTTTGACAATTATAATAATAATTTATCTTTTTTTTATCTAATTATAATCAATTTTAATAAACATTAAATATATATAATCTTATCTTTATTGAATTATTTTTGAATTAAAATATAACATACTTAAAAAACTAATAAATACTAATAGATATATATATGTTTATTTATAACATTATAAAATTAAGAAAATTTTGGAACTAAAAATATATTAAAAAATAATACACAATAATATTAATAATACATCAATGAAATAATGTTCCATAATAGTTTTTGGAGACATAGGAAGATCTCCAAGAATGGTTAATCATGCTTTGGCAATAGCTGATAATACAGAGTATCGTATTAATTTCTATGGATATTTGGATAATAAGCCAACTTAAGCATTATTGTCTAATCCAAATATTAGAATTGTGGATCTAAATCTTTGGATAGTAAATTAATTAAAGAAAATGCCAAGATTCTTATTTTTATTGTATGCAGTACTTAGAATTGCATTACAATCATTATATTTATTCTTATTACTATTATTTAGTAGGAAATAGGAATTTATTTTGGTTTAGAATCCTCCTTCAATTCCAGTTTTACATGTAGTTAGTTTAATAAAGGGAATACGTAGATCAAAGATCATAATAGATTTTCACAATTATGGACATACAATATTGGCATTGTAGATGAAAAACAATTTTATATTAAAGATGGCTAGATCTTATGAGCATTAATTTAGTAGATCATATGATTATGCTTTATGTGTATCTTAAGCAATGTAGAAGGATTTATAATAGAATTGGAGGATAAAGTATAAATAATAATAGTATAGATGGAAGTGCTACAGTTGTATATGATAAGGCAAATATTAATTTTAATGTTATAAATAAGCCTAAAGAGAAACATGAATTATTTATGAAATTAGATTTCCATTGGTAATGGGAAGTATTAAATAGCAATGAAACATTATTTACAGAAGAATTGAATAATTAATAAGTGATAGAGAAAATTAATAGACCAGGATTGATAGTAAGTAGTACTTCATGGACAAAGGATGAAGATTTTAATATTCTTGTGTAAGCATTGTAGAAATATGAGGATTTAGCAAGTAAGTTAGAAGATTGATTATTTTAGATATTGAATAAGGAAGGGAATATAGAAAATTATATGTAGTTATAACAGGTAAGGGACCAATGAAAGAAGAATTTAAAGAGATATTTTAAAAATGTAATATTTGTTGGAATCATGTAAAAGTTAATTTAGCTTGGTTAGATATTGATGATTATCCTAAATTATTAGGTTGTGCTGATTTAGGAATTTGTTTACATTACTCTTCATCTGGTCTAGATTTACCAATGAAAGTAGTGGATATGTTTGGAGCTGGCACACCTGTATTTGCTAAATCATTTAATGCGTATATATAATATTTATTATTAAGTATTTCTGAATTAGTATAACATTAAAAGAATGGTATAGTATTTGATACTCCAGATGATTTATTTGATCATTTATCATAGGCTTTTAGATATGGATCTAATATACTATAGAAATTAAAGAATGGAGTAGAAACATTTAGAACTGAAACATTTGATTAAGAGTGGAGAACCAAAGTGTTACCCTATATAAGAAATTTAAAATGAATTATTTTTATTTTTAATGGCATACCAGATTGATTTGTCTAAATTAAAATTTTTTATTGATGATACTCCTGTATTAAAAAGGTATCCTAAAGTATTAAATGTAAAAAAAGAGTCAACAGAATATTTTGATGCAAATTCAACTATTTGTGAATGTAATGAAGAATTAGAACCTTATATGTTTTGGTTAAGATTTAAAGTAGAATTGAAATAAGATCCTATAATTTAATCAAATGAAGACAAAGAATTATATAATATGGGTTCTAGTTTTGGAGTTAATTAAGTTGATAACAATAACAATAACAATTTCAATACTAATATATTTGATTAGGACAACAATAATTAGATTAAATAAAGTTTCAATAATATTAAAAAATGTAATGTCTCTGTATAAACTAACAAATTATTTCTTAAAAACAAATAATAAATATTTAAATATCATCAAAAATATAGGAATCATAAAGTTTATCAAGAAACTCTTAATAATTTATAGTAGAATTAAAGATTCTAAAAATTCGTAAGCAAAAAGAATAAGAAAATTGGATCAATCTATTTATTTTTATTATTGATTTTATTTATAATACTAATTATGTGTTTATGATTAATATAAAATTAGATCAGAATCTTAATACTCTGTCTTGGACATACAACATTTCATATCTAGTGTTGTAATCCATATCACCTGAAGGCTTGCATGCTAAATCCCAATAAGAAGTATTAAACACCTATATATAAATTTATTGATTGATACTTAGCAAGGATCTCCTAATAAGAAAGTATTCCAAATTAATATGTAAGCAAACAATACCCATCCACTTCTGTACATTAAATTCATGGCCATCACATGCATCTTATAAGTATAACTGTGATCTTCTTCCATTCCAATACTATCTCCTGCTTATCTTAATACTAATGTCTTGAATAACCCTCTTTCATAATTATTATTCAATATCTTACTATCTACCAATTCCATGATAATATCCTGTCTAATAGGTAGCTAATAATTTTGGATCAAATCTATTGATGTACTAATAATAAGCATGTTTTGAACATGTCTTATAAAATCTCTTCTCCATTTTTATTAATATATATTAAATCCCCCTTTTAATAATTATTTATGCACTCAACATAATAGATGTCTAAATTTTCTAGTACATACTCTACTAATTACAACACCAATACAAGACGATATGTTTCAAGTGCTAAAACATCTCCAATGACAGGACCACTCTAAAAATTAATTGAAACTGACAATGACAATTTTTCAAAGAGAGACAAGAATCCATAAGTAATTATATCATCAAATATATTAAAGAATCTCTTATAAGAAATACTCTAAACCAACAACATAACTAAAATCTAGAAATTAATATCTACATTCACTTAACATGATCTTAATATAGATAATCTATCTCAACAAGAATTACTTAACATTATTCTTAAAGTATACCAACTCAATCTCTATGAAGAAATCAATTTTATTAATATCCTTTATGAAGCCTATACAGATAAATAACATAAAGATGTTCTTAAATATCTCATATTACATTGTCATGAATAATTAATTGGAAAATCTGGAAATACAACTCGTCTTTTAGAGATCTTTTAAGAAATGCTTACATTAAATCCTGATTTTACTTCATTTCAATTGGAATATCAATTGGATTCAATTCCAGTTTCATTCAGTCGTATTTAATTACGTTGTATGTTCCTTCTTAATCAATATGATATTTTACGTTCTTTAAAAGGAGCAGTAGCATTATTCGAATAATTGGAAGGTTTTATATTTCAACAATTTAAATCTAATACTATACCCACTTAAAGTGATATCAGTACCCTTGTTATTGCATATATATTATTAAGTGA